ACACACACACACACACACACACACACACACACACACACACACACACACAGAAAGAGAGCGAGCAGGCAAGCGAGAGAGAGAGAAGGGGGCAGCGATGAGAAAGTGCTGGGAGTTTATTCTGAGTGGTTCATGCATTTAGTGCGCCACTCTCTGGTGCCACACCCCATCTGGAGTGCCCAGAAGCATATAATCTAATAAGACTCCAAAAGAGCGAGCGATATTGATTTTCTGTGAAATGGATGGAGGGGGTGAGACGGGCCCGTGTGATGACAGCCTCCTGACCTCTGTGGATTTGTTTACCAGCACTACAGTTTACTCAGAGCTCCACGCTGCTCTTATCGCTCTCCTTTTTTACAATACAAATGAACACATCTGGTCATGACTGGGCCTTATGGAACACACACTTTTGAATGGGCCATTAAAATAACATATCTAGAGGTTGATCATTTAAATATTTGTTTCAATAGGACAAAAAAGTGCAAGTACCTACCAGGACTCTCTACTCGCTTGTAGTGATACGGGTTGATGCAGACCTCCTTCTGCTTGGAGCCAAACGGGTACTCGCACACCTCCAGGGGCTTGAGCTCGTGGTGGGACTGGAGGTCCGGCCAGCGCCACACTCTGCAGTAGATGACGTGAGGCAGACCTTTCCTGTGGGAGACCTGTAGCCGGCCGTCCAGTGATCGTGGAATGGTTACGCACTTGCTGGTCTGCCCGGGGCAGCTCAGAGCCTTCTCCAGGTCCTCCATGGCGCCCTTCTTCTTCTTCAGCTTCTTTACGAGCGCGTCAACCGCCTTCTCGGCCCATTTCTCCTCCTCGTCTCCCTGCTTCCAGCCGAGCAGGCGTTTCACCGCTGGGCTCGTGAAGGAGAAGAGACTGGACATGGTGGTCATGCTGGATGCTATGGTGTAGGTGAAAGGGAGGACCTCTGTAGTGGCTGCTCACTCCAGGGGGAATGGGGTGGGGGGGATGGGGGAGAGTAGAAGTCCCCTGCTGACGATCTCCGATCAGCGTTAGTAGTCTAAAGCGATGTTGGAACGTGTGGTCAACCAGAAAACACTTGAGTGTGGAAGTATGAGATGAGGGCTGGGGTAGGGGAGAGGAGAGGAGGCTTTAGCCTTGTCTGACCAAGGACAGGAAGCAGGGGAGGGAGGGGAGTCAGCAAGCAGGACGCAGCTGCTGCTGCTCAGGAAGGGCCCTGCAGCAAGCGGTCCAGAGCTGGGTCACCAACACTGATGGAGGGAGGGGGGGGTGTGTGCAGGCTGCAGGAGCAGAGATCAGGACCTCTGTCGAAGTGACACGCAGCAGCAGGTCTCACCGGTGCAAGATGATGGCTGCTCAACAACAACTCCCAGCTCCTCTCCAACCGGTGCACAGTCAGAGTTCTACTCCACCAGCCTCCTGCAAGACAGAGAGCACAGCAGATACACGTCAGCAACACACGCTCGCTTCTCTGACATTACGTATAATCGATAAACAAGCAAAGGTTGCTAACATTTGTAAACAACAATTTAAAAGATATGAATGAAATGCGAGTCTCAGCACAGCGCGTGACAAACAGGATGATCAAATAAACCCGTCGGACACATTTCAATTACTATCAATACTTTCAAACATACATTTAGTTAAACTGCAACACACATTTAGTTTAATTTGTTTGTGAATTAAAAAAAAACAAAAAAACATTGGCTCTCAAGAGGCTTGGGATGATAAGGGTTAATTCATAAACCATTTCCTGTGACTATTGTCCATCACAACCCAAATCCATATTTTTGGTCAGCTAATTTAGTGCATATACTAGTTAGAGTTAGTAAGATTATGATTCAAGTGTGGGCTGAAAAACAACATTCTCATCAGAAAGAGTGATGATGCCAGCAGAGAACGTGAGCAGCAAAAATCTAAGTCTAGCTGTATTAATTAATGCAGCTGTTTTTCACAATGCTGTTGTGGAGAAAAGGGCACCAGAATAAAATAAAATGACTTAAATAAAATGGAAACTCAAATTAGTGACAAATAAATAAATGAATAAAGCTCCTTTTAGTCAATATACTTTGATATCATTTCTCATTGTACAACCATGAGTCACAAAGAAGCAACACTGAATCACCACCTCTAAAATGAATGCATTATTGTTTCAGGGCATCCAATGATTCCCTCAACAAACTACTGTTTCCACCCACTAATGCAGACCGTCTCAAACACGATGCATAACTAACGACATGCTGTGATATCCGACACGTCTGCCCATATTATCACGCAGCCCCGGCGAGCAGACAGTCAAACACATGTAGCCTGCAGCAGCTGTTTGGGGGCTTGTGAGACCGGCCTCAGTCAGAGAGGATGTGACCACAAAGAGCTGCTTCCTCCCTCATCCCATCTCTGCCCCGATCCCTCCCTTCCAGCACACAGCTGTCCGACAGCACTGCGCCCACTTCCACTACTCATTGTTCTGCATGCACATGAAAGTGGAGGGAAACCTCCTAAAGTGGAACATGTAGGCATACAGAAAAAATGACCAGCCTGCAACTTTTTTTTTTTTTTTCCTGACATTCACCAGACTGTGTTCCAGCAGCTGTTTCTACAGAGCCTGATCAGTCAGAGATCTGGATGCAGCGTCGTTTAGACCGGATCAGCAGTGATTCACCAGCTCATTGTCAGAGAGCGAGCAAAGCCAAATGATAGATTTCAACACAAGGACGTGCCTGGTCATCCTGAAACGAGCAGAAACGTATGTTTGATGAACACGTCGTAGACAGAACTTGCCTGGAGGAACAGCTGTTAACAGCCGATCTGCATCTGAATGAATTAACCGTTGAGATAAAAGCTGATCATCTCTAAACACTGATCACAGTTCACACGGTTGGCTCATTGTGTTTTCACCATCAAAGAGGCTGAAAATCAAAATCAATCTCGACAGAACATACTTTCACAAAGCCACATGTAAAAAAGGGGGTTGTGGGAAGATAACTTAAGTCCCTGATTTACTGATCAGCGCCTAAATTAACTGTAATTAAAGATGGTTTGTGGTCTGTCTTACAAAAATCAGTGGATCCCCGTGTGTGTGTGTCTATATATACACACACACATTCACACACACA